GACGTATTGGGATGGCCAAAGACGCATTCCAAAAGCTAGGCAGAGTATGACGAGATAGGAGGATTTCTTTGGTAACAAAGAAAAGTGTACTGAACTGCTACGTGACATCTGTCCTCCTTTACGGCAGCGAATGTTGGACGGTCTCCTCAAAGATGAAGTAGAGACTCGAGGCGACTGGGACCATTAGACGTATTGGGATGGCCAAAGACGCATTCCAAAAGCTAGGCAGAGTATGACGAGATAGGATGATTTCTTTGGTAACAAAGAAAAGTGTACTGAACTGCTACGTGATATCTGTCCTCCTTTACGGCAGCGAATGTTGGACGGTCTCCTCAAAGATGAAGAAGATACTGAGGCGACTGGGATCCTTAGACGTATTGGGATGGCCAAAGACGCATTCCAAAAAGCTAGGCAGAGTATGACGAGATAGGAGGATTTCTTTGGTAACAAAGAAAAGTGTACTGAACTGCTACGTGACATCTGTCCTCCTTTACGGCAGCGAATGTTGGACGGTCTCCTCAAAGATGAAGAAGTGACTCGAGGCGACTGGGATCCTTAGACGTATTGGGATGGCCAAAGACGCATTCCAAAAGCTAGGCAGAGTATGACGAGATAGGAGGATTTCTTTGGTAACAAAGAAAAGTGTACTGAACTGCTACGTGATATCTGTCCTCCTTTACGGCAGCGAATGTTGGACGGTCCCACCAAAGATGAAGAAGAGACTCGAGGCAACTGGGATCCTTAGACGTATTGGGATGGCCAAGGAAGCATTCCAATAGCTAGGCAGAGTATGACGAGATAGGAGGATTTCTTTGGTAACAAAGAAAAGTGTACTGAACTGCTACGTGATATCTGTCCTCCTTTACGGCAGCGAATGTTGGACGGTCTCCTCAAAGATGAAGAAGTGACTCGAGGCGACTGGGATCCTTAGACGTATTGGGATGGCCAAAGACGCATTCCAAAAGCTAGGCAGAGTATGACGAGATAGGAGGATTTCTTTGGTAACAAAGAAAAGTGTACTGAACTGCTACGTGATATCTGTCCTCCTTTACGGCAGCGAATGTTGGACGGTCTCCTCAAAGATGAAGAAGATACTCGAGTCGACTGGGATCCTTAGACGTATTGGGATGGCCAAAGACGCATTCCAAAAAAGCTAGGCAGAGTATGACGAGATAGGAGGATTTCTTTGGTAACAAAGAAAAGTGTACTTAACTGCTACGTGATATCTGTCCTCCTTTACGGCAGCGAATGTTGGACGGTCTCCTCAAAGATGCAGAAGATACTCGAGGCGACTCGGATCCTTAGACGTATTGCGATGGCCAAAGACGCATTCCAAAAGCTAGGCAGAGTATGAAGAGATAGGAGGATTTCTTTGGTAACAAAGAAAAGTGTACTGAACTGCTACGTGACATCTGTCCTCCTTTACGGCTGCGAATGTTGGACGGTCTCCTCAAAGATGAAGAAGAGACTCGAGGCGACTGGGATCCTTAGACGTATTGGGATGTCCAAAGACGCATTCCAAAAGCTAGGCAAAGTATGACGAGATAGGAGGATTTCTTTGGTAACAAAAAATAGTGTACTGAACTGCTACGTGATATCTGTCCTCCTTTACGGCAGCGAATGTTGGACGGTCCCACCAAAGATGAAGAAGTGACTCGAGGCGACTGGGATACTTAGACGTATTGGGATGGCCAAAGACGCATTCCAAAAGCTAGGCAGAGTATGACGAGATAGGAGGATTTCTTTGGTAACAAAGAAAAGTGTACTGAACTGCTACGTGATATCTGTCCTCCTTTACGGCAGCGAATGTTGGACGGTCTCCTCAAAGATGAAGAAGACACTCGAGGCGACTGGGATCCTTAGACGTATTGGGATGGCCAAGGAAGCATTCCAATAGCTAGGCAGAGTATGACGAGATAGGAGGATTTCTTTGGTAACAAAGAAAAGTGTACTGAACTGCTACGTGATATCTGTCCTCCTTTACGGCAGCGAATGTTGGACGGTCTCCTCAAAGATGAAGAAGATACTCGAGTCGACTGGGATCCTTAGACGTATTGGGATGGCCAAAGACGCATTCCAAAAGCTAGGCAGAGTATGACGTGATAGGAGGATTTCTTTGGTAACAAAGAAAAGTGTACTTAACTGCTACGTGATATCTGTCCTCCTTTACGGCAGCGAATGTTGGACGGTCTCCTCAAAGATGCAGAAGATACTCGAGGCGACTGGGATCCTTAGACGTGTTGGGATGGCCAAAGACGCATTCCAAAAACTAGGCAGAGTATGACGAGACAGGAGGATTTCTTTGGTAACAAAGAAAAGTGTACTGATCTGCTACGTGATATCTGTCCTCCTTTACGGCAGCGAATGTTGGACGGTCCCACCAAAGATGAAGAAGAGACTCGAGGCGACTGGGATACTTAGACGTATTGGGATGGCCAACGATGCATTCCAAAAGCTAGGCAGAGTATGACGAGATAGGAGGATTTCTTTGGTAACATAGAAAAGTGTACTGAACTGCTACGTGATATCTGTCCTCCTTTACGGCAGTGAATGTTGGACGGTCCCACCAAAATGAAGAAGATACTCGAGTCGACTGGGATCCTTAGACGTATTGAGATGGCCAAAGACGCATTCCAAAAGCTAGGCAGAGTATGACGAGATAGGAGGATTTCTTTGGTAACAAAGAAAAATGTACTTAACTGCTACGTGATATCTGTCCTCCTTTACGGCAGCGAATGTTGGACGGTCCCACCGAAGATGAAGAAGAGACTCGAGGCAACTGGGATCCTTAGACGTATTGGGATGGCCAAAGACGCATTCCAAAAGCTAGGCAGAGTATGACGAGATAGGAGGATTTCTTTGGTAACAAAGAAAAATGTACTGAACTGCTACATGACATCTGTCCTCCTTTACGGCAGCGAATGTTGGACGGTCCCACCAAAGATGAAGAAGAGACTCGCGGCGACTGGGATACTTAGACGTATTGGGATGGCCAAAGACGAATTCAAAAAGCTAGGCAGAGTATTACGAGATAGGAGGATTTCTTTGGTAACAAAAGAAAAGTGTGCTGAACTGCTACGTGATATCTGTCCTCCTTTACGGCAGCGAATGTTGGACGGTCTCCTCAAAGATGAAGAAGATACTCGAGGCGACTGGGATTCTTAGACGTATTGGGATGGCCAAAGACGCATTCCAAAAGCTAGGCAGAGTATGACGAGATAGGAGGATTTCTTTGGTAACAAAGAAAAGTGTACTGAACTGCTACGTGATATCTGTCCTCCTTTACGGCAGCGAATGTTGGACGGTCTCCTCAAAGATGCAGAAGATACTCGAGGCGACTGGGATCCTTAGACGTATTGGGATGGCCAAAGTCGCATTCCAAAAGCTAGGCAGAGTATGACGAGATAGGAGGATTTCTTTGGTAACAAAGAAAAGTGTACTGAACTGCTACGTGACATCTGTCCTCCTTTACGGCAGCGAATGTTGGACGGTCTCCTCAAAGATGAAGAAGACACTCGAGGCGACTGGGATCCTTAGACGTATTGGGATGGCCAAAGACGCATTCCAAAAGCTAGGCAGAGTATAACGAGATAGGAGGATTTCTTTGGTAACAAAGAAAAGTGTACTGAACTGCTACGTGATATCTGTCCTCCTTTACGGCAGCGAATGTTGGACGGTCCCACCAAAGATGAAGAAGAGACTCGAGGCGACTGGGATCCTTAGACGTATTGGGATGGCCAAAGACGCATTCCAAAAGCTAGGCAGAGTATGACGAGATAGGAGGATTTCTTTGGTAACAAAGAAAAGTGTACTGAACTGCTACGTGATATCTGTCCTCCTTTACGGCAGCGAATTTTGGACGGTCTCACCAAAGATGAAGAAGAGACTCGAGGCGACTGGGATCCTTAGACGTATTGGGATGGCCAAAGACGCATTCCAAAAGCTAGGCAGAGTATGACGAGATAGGAGGATTTCTTTGGTAACAAAGAAAAGTGTACTGAACTGCTACGTGATATCTGTCCTCCTTTACGGCAGCGAATGTTGGACGGTCTCACCAAAGATGAAGAAGAGACTCGAGGCGACTGGGATCCTTAGACGTATTGGGATGGCCAAAGACGCATTCCAAAAGCTAGGCAGAGTATGACGAGATAATATTTCTTTGGTAACAAAGAAAAGAGGACTGAACTGCTACGTGATATATGTCCTCCTTTATGGCAGCGAATGTTGGACGGTCTCACCAAAGATGAAGAAGGGACTCGAGGCAACGGAGCTATGGTTCTACAGAAGGATACTAAGTATACCATGAACCGAATATGTAAGGAAAAATGGTTTTGGAGAGGTTGCAAAGAAGAAGGAAGCTTATGCCTTACATCAGGAATGGCAGCTGAAATTTTTGGGACACGTAATGAGAAAGGAAGGCTTGGAGAATCTGATACTCATGGGGTAGATAGAGGGAAAGAGAGACAAGGGAAAGCATGGTGTGACATACCTAGCGGGATTAAGCAAGTGGATGACAGAACTGGGTTTGGGAGAAGTAGCAAAAGGACAACACATATTTGAGAAATACAAGTGATAGGGGGAAGTGGAGAGCCATGATCGCCTACGTCCTGAAGGGACACGGCACATAAAAGAACCATTTTTGGTCTGATTTTGCTCTTGTAAAGGTAGGGATAGTGGATGGAGTCTGCTACTTTTGTGGAGCAGTACAATGAACCGACCTTTTTTTTCCGGTGTTTTTAGCAATGGATCGTGTGTAAAAGTTCCACGAGGTCTGTGTTGATCTTGAGTCCCAATAGTCTCTCAAGACATAAGGACTCCCTGAAGAAACACCCGTTCATCGCGGTTAAAATGCAGGGCCCGCTCGAAGTAGGGCTAAAGTTTTTTTTTTGTTTTGTTTTTTGCTTGTAGTTTATATCGTATCCCCCGATTTATGTGTTCAAACAGAAGTCGCTCGCGATTTTAACTTATTTTGAATATCTTCAAATGAAAAAAAAAAAAATATGTCACAAGAAATTACTAACACCACCGCAAACAGGCCATCCGATTTGACATCTACAACAGGTAGGATTTTGCGGTCGCCATCTTGTTTCGAAACCTCTGTGGAGTGTAAGGGATCACTCGTGGACCATTCGACGTTGTGTTTAGTAGTGTGTTTAATACGATGTAAGCAACCGACTATTCGTTGGCATCGAAGGACGATGTGTGATGATTTTTTTTTTATTTATTAGGAAGGGTGTTTATGATTTTATTTTCAGACAATTAATAAGCAAAACCAATGGATTATTTATATCTGGGATTGATCGCGGTAAGGGTAATGGCGGACAAAATAAAATCGTGAATAATTTTGCGTCTCACGTGTAAAATAGGCACTTTTTCAGCATTAGTCTGCAGACCTTTTGATGTAAGTAAGTGTTCGTTGGTGTCTTTGTGTGAATTGCTGGTTGTAAATGTTATTTTAAGTTTTTTTCTATGTCTCATATTGGTTTTTATTATTAATAATAATAATGATGATTTCATCAAAATAATATTTCTTTCATCAATAGAAATTTTCAACTCTACAATATAATTCATTTTTTTTCCGAATTACACTGCAAGACTTGACTCTCAAAAAATATAAGATCAAGGTAAATGTCTACCCTAGCGACAAATCGCTTCGTCGCAGCGAATGCAGTCTTCCGCTCAGATGACAATCGAGGCTTGTCAAATTGCGAATAAAAACACGTCCGCGCAAATGACTTTGTAGAAAGCAAATCGAAACAACGCCATCAGCCATCTTTTTCTCTCACTCCCTTTCTTTCTTTGCCTGTGTCTCTTTCTCTCTCGCTATCCCTTTCTCTCATTTTCCCGCTCTCTCTTTTTCTCTCTCCTTTTTTCTCTCTCCCTCTACCCCTTTCCCATCTCGCTCACTTTCTTCCTCTGTCTCTCACTCCCTTTCTTTCTTTGTTTGTGTCTCTTTCTCTCTCGCTATCCCTTTCTCTCATTCTCCCGCTCTCTCTCTTTTTCTCTCTCCTTTTTTCCCTCTCCCTCTATCCCCTTTCCCATTTCGCTCACTTTCTTCCTCTCTCTCTCTCACTCACTTTTTTATGTAACCTTTCTCTCTTTATATCCTTTCACCCCTCCTCCCTCCCTCTCTCTATCTATTTTATCTCCCTCTCTTGCCTGCCCCTTTCTCTATTTCTCTCACTTTCTCCCTCTCTTTTATTTTCTTTCTGTGTATCTTTTTCTCTCTCTCGCCCTTTCTATCCCTCTCCCTTTCTATCATTTTCTATCCTTTTTTCTATCTCTCTGCCTCTCTATATCTCTTGTTCTCCCTATCCCTCTCTCTCTCTATCCTTCTCTGTCTCTACCTCTCTCTCTATCTATTTTATCTCTCTCCCTTTCTCTCCCTCTTCACTTCTCTCACTTCCCCTCTTTCTCAATTTATTTCTCTGTATCCCTTTCTCTCTGTATCCTTTTCTCTCTCTCCCTTTTCCTCGCTCTCCCCTTCTCTCATTCTCTCTCCTTTTTTCTCTCTCTCCCTTCCCCTCTCCCTCTTTCTTTACCTGCCTGCGTCCCTTCCTCTTTCTATCCCTCTCTCTCCCATCACTCTCAATCTACATTTCTCTCTCTCTCTTTCTCTATCTCTCTCACTTACTCCCGCTCTCTGATTTTCTTTCTCTGTGTTTCTTTCTCTCTGTATTCCTTTCTTTCTCCCCTTTCTCTCTCTCTCTCCCCCTTTCTCTCTCTCTCTCTCCCTTTCATTCTCTATACCTTTTCCTCTCTCTTTTTATACCTTTCTCTCTCTTCCCCTTTTCTTTATTTGTCTGTATCCCTTTCTCTCCCCCTTTCTTTCTCTGTCGGTATCCTATTCTCTCTCTCTTTCTCTCTATATCCCTCCCTCTCTATCCCTTTCTCTCTCTCCCTTCCTCTCTCTTTCCCTCTTTTCTCTCTACTTTTCTCTCTCTCTCTTTATCTCTATCTATTTTTCTCTATCTCTTTCTTTCTCCCTTTCTCTCTCTCCCATTTCTCTCTCTCTTCCTTTCTTTATCTCTCTCACTTTCACCCTCTCTCATTCTCTCTCTTCCTTTCTCTCCCCCTCTCTCTCTCCCCTTTCACCACCTCTCTCATTTTTCCCTCTCTCATTCTCTATCCCTTTTTCTCCCTCTCTCCCTTTCTCGCTTTCCCATTCTCTCTCTCTCTTCCTTTCTCTCTCCCTTTCTTTCTCCGTCTGTTTCTCTCTCTCTTTCTCTCTATATCCCTCCCTCTCTATCCCTTTCTCTCTCCCTCTCTTCCCCTTTCTTTCCTTCTTTTTCTCTCTCTCTATTTCTATCTATTTTTCTCTATCTCTTTCTTTCTCCCTTTCTCTTTCTCTCCTTTCTCCCTCTCTCCCTTTCTCTATCTCTCTCCCTTTCACCCTCTCTCATTCTCTCTTTTCCTTTCTCTCCCCTCTCTCATTCTCTCTATTCCTTTCTCTCCCCCTCTATCTTCTCCCCTTTCACCATCTCTCTCATTTTTCCCTCTCTCATTCGCTATCCCTTTTTCTCCCTCTCTCCCTTTCTCGATCTCCCATTCTCTCTCTCCCTTTCTGTCTTTCTCCCTCCCTTTCTCTGTCTCCCTTTTTTCTTTCTCTGTATCCCTTTCTCTTTCTTCCTTTGTCTGTATCCCTCACTCTTTCTATCTCTTTCTCTCTCCATTTCTCTCTATATATCCCTCTATCACCCCCTCTCTCTCTCTGTCTTGCTCTTTGTCATCTTCCTACAAAGCTATGTTCAATAGATCAATTCTGGGTGATTATATTGCAGCGCAAGGAGTGGTTGGTAACCAATAACTGGGCATTTCCTGGAAGCTGGATTTCCGTTCGTTGACATGGCCTTGATGTCGTAAAGTCTCGGATGAAGTCAGTTTCAGATCGACAGATGGCGCTGCAATCCTGATGTGCTGGCCACTTGAGCAAGCGATCAGCACGACTATGCATCGTCAGAGTGGCTGATAAGGACCACTGCGTCGCTCGGCTGCTAACGAAACTGGCTGCAGACCGGACGCCCGGGCAAACATTTCATCAAGGAACGGTTGATGTACTCTGTTGATTTTTCCTTTTTTAAACAAAACTTTCCCTGGTTACTTGTCTACCTTATCACTCGCTTTCATTCACTTTCTTTTTTTTCTTTCGTTTCTAGGCTGTTAATTGCATGTTTATCCTTATTTGTTCTTTAAAAAGCCTTTCTGCTTTATTTTGGCCAATGTTTCGAAATTCAGGGCTTGTATAAATATAATAACCTATTACATTGTTCTTTTCTTCTCTTCTTAGTTTATATATTTTCACCGTAGCTTCTAATGTCCGTAAAGCGGGCAGTGAAGAGACTACAATATTTAGAGCGTCTGTATATATAATCCTTTTTTACAATGATGCTCACCATGTACAAGGCTTAAGAGACACTCGAGGTAGATGGTTACAGAGTAAGAAGAACGGTTTATGCATCTGACAAACAATGTGGATTCCACTTTATCCGGTCTACAATATGATTTGGTTCAGTTTGTTTAACGGTATATCAACCTCAATGGGTTATTTAATGCCGACAAAATTTTATTGCTGTTAATATATTTTTTAATGTATTACTGGTAATATTTTTTCTTCGAAAATCTATTTCTAGTAATATTGTTTTCAAAATAATGTATAGCTAGTAATATGTATATATATTTAAAAAAAATGTATAGTTGTTAATATTTTTTAAATGTATAGCTGGTAATTTTTAAAAAATGTACGGCTGGTAATATTTTTTTTTCCAAAAATGTATTGCTGGTAATAATTTTTATTTTTTGTATTTCTGGCATTAAAATCTATTTTTACACTTTTATAATGCTTTGTCCCCAGTTTGGGGGTTAACTATTTGCCCAAAGCTGGGACCCTAACAGGTGCTACCACACCGGGTCATGGTGGAGTTGGGAACACTAGCAATTAAGAGGTGGTTCTACGCTCCTCAAAATCTCATGAACAGAGGCCTTGCTGTCGGATGTAGTTTATCGTCTTACCCAGGACTCTGTGCCACAACTAAATATATATGTCATGCCCTTGATAAGAACAGCGAAACTCGAGCTGTGGCTCTAGATATCTAGAAGACGTTTGACAGGGTTTGGTGTGTTTGCCATCTGCGTAAGCTTCAGGGCTACGGTATTATAGGCCGACTATTTGATTTAATGTAATCATTACTTTCAAATCGTGAAATGAAGGTCGTTCTGAACTGGCACACTTCCAGATCCATTCTTGTGAATGTGGGGGTCCCCCAATTCTCTATCTTGGGTCCTACACTGTTTCTGATCTTCATCAATGATCTTCCTACCGTCATTAACTTCCAAGTAGGCATTTATGCAGATGACACTACCATTTATTTCTGTCTTAGTAGTAAACCCGGCAGTCAACCTGGCCGTTGCTCTTGAAAATCACCTTTAACAGTGGTAGGAAATGGCTTGTAAATTTTAATGCCTCCAAAACGAAATTCCTCTCATTTAGCGACCACAGAGATAATTCCCTGCCTACCATTAGCATGATTGATCCTAAACTCCAGAAGTGTGTCTCAATACACCTTCTTTCGAATGACTTGAAGTGGAACAACTACATTGAAGCTGCATCTTCTGCAAGGATAGTTGGCTCACTGTGTCGTGCCAGAAGTTTTTTTTTCTCGACAGAGTCCATTTTACATATCTACAAATCTACCAGTCGTCCGTGCATTGAATAATGTTGCCTTATCTATGGTTTGGTGCTTCAGCTGTTCATCACGAAGTTCTCGACAAAATCCAAAGAAGGATATGCAATGTTATAAGTCCTGACCTGGCAACTTGACTACAGTCACTTTGTCACAGACGTAATGTGACTTCCCTCTGTCTTTTCTACAAATATTTTGATGGCAAACGCTCTTTTTTCCCTGGTGCCCAGACTACATAAATTTAAGCGTGCTACTAGATTAGCATCTGGGTTCCACCCTTTTACCGTTGAAATAGTTAAATGTAACCGCCACTTCTACTCCAACACTTTATTTTCTCGCACTTCCCGACAGTTGAACTCCATTCTGTTCACTTGCTTCCCTGATAACTACAATCTTCAAAAAATTAAATATAACGTCAATCGCCAGACTCTGATGTCATGAAACCCGTTCATCATTTAACCTTTCCTCATCCCCCCTCCCCTACTCAATTTTTTTCTCTCATCGTCACTCTCTGTAACCCCCGAACCAGTGGCAATCCCATCTTGCTTGGGTGAAATGCTTAAAAAAAATATCTAGGAAGATAACGATTTACTCTAGACTTGAACAAGTTAAGATTGTAGTGATCGGGAAGTATCCCCTTGGGAGTTGATTCCGCAAAGCATCGGTTTGTGAGAAGAAACTGCTCAAGTGGAATTTATATCTTCCCAGTGGAATAAAAAAGGAAATATTGTTAGATGTAATGTGCGTGTCATGGAGAGTCTAAGCCGTGAGGTTTAGAACTGGTGGAATGTAGTTCGTCTGAGCACTTTTTATGGAAATAGCGATAAAGCAGCAAAAGGTTTGCAGCGTTTCGTCGTGAGAAAGGGGATACGGGGTGGAAAATGATTCATCACCCACAAGGACACGGAGACATGTCCTTATGTGGTAGCAGTATTCCATTTTCGGTCTGATCTGGCTCTTACAATGGTGCAGCATAGCCAAAGGAGTCAGCTACTTATTGGGGCGTTATATGGAACCGATCATGAATTAACAATAGATACTTCCAATTCATTGATAAAAATAGTGTTCTGAGGGAGAATATTTCCCTACAAGTTTGAATTCGGCCGACGGACGAAAGACAAAATAAAAAATACACCTACATCAAGAGGAGTAGCAGTAGCAGCAGTAGCCTTTGCTGAAAGCAATCATTCACAGTTAAACATTTTCTTCCCTAGTTTCTATTCTACATTATGTTTCCCTGTACCAAAAGGTAATAAACTTGTTAAACTGATCCCAGTTTTCTACTGTTATTTTTGTTAACTCTGTTATAACAAATAGACATTTAAAACTTATCATCTTACTTATTATAAAACGCAAATTGTGTGTGTGTGTGTGTGTCTGTACGTTTATATATTGGATCGGATTTCCTACATTTTTCAACCGATTTCAACAAAACTTCACAGGACTACATAAAACGGTGGTTCTAGCATAAAATTGAAAAACACAATCTTACTTATTATAAAACGCAAATTGTGTGGTTCTGTTTTATATATTGGAGCGCCAAAACTTGACAGGAAATAAAATTACCTTGGGTTTTGCACGCCAAAATGGAAAAACACAATTGTTTTGAAAAAACACGATAAAACTCGATTCTGTCGCCAGAATGAAAGGGGACAACTCATATCGAGTTATACTTATTATAAAACACAGGTTGTTTGTGTGTGTGTGTGTGTGTGTGTTCGTTTATATATGGGATCGGATTTCCTACATTTTTCAAAACCGATTTCAACAAAACTTCACTTTTTTTTTTTTTTTTGGCAGGTAGTGTTTCTTGCACACTTTTTTTTCTTTATTTTACATTCAGAATGCTTTAAAAATTCCATTTACAAGACAATTGTTTATAATAAAATTCTATTCAATCGGGAGACTCATAACGATTGAAAACAATGTTTTTGCTTGAGTTTGGGTTTGACCAATTCGTAAAAAAAAAAAAACCAATTAAGACATGCGTGTCCGTCAACCTTAAACAATAATCTTTGTCAATTTTATTTTTCAGTCTTTATGATGGTCGATACTTGATCTATCTCTTACTGTTACATCCCCGGGCAACGCCGGGCTCTACTGCTAGTTTACTATAAAAAATCTTAAACTTTATTCATTCTAACTTTAGAATGAAGCAACCCTGAAAGAATTAGAAGTCCCACCGGGATTCATTATTGGCAGCCACAATCTTAACCATATTAGATGTGCAGGTGACACAGTGTTGGTAGTTGACACAGAACGGAATCTACAGAAACTCCCAGCAAAGAAAAGCGAAAAGAAAGGACTAAGTGTCAACTGTACGAAGACAGAACATATGGTTGTTAGTAAGAGAAACAACCCAAGAAGCGAAATACTAATTGGAGATACTTAAATTAAAGAAGTATATAAATTTAAATATTTAGCAAGTGTTTTAACAGAAGATAGAAAATACGACGGTGAAAGCATATTAGTTTAGCGAAAGATGCTTTCTAAAAGTTAAGCAAAATATTAAGAAACAAGAAATTTTCATTGGAAACAAAAAAAGGAGTACCTAACTATTAAGTGATATCGGTACTCCTATATGCCAGTGAATACTGGACAATCTTATAACAGATGGGGGAAGTGACTTGAGACAAAAAGAACTGTAGCTCTACAGAAGGATGCTGAGAATACTATAAACGGAACAAGTGTGCAACGAAGACGTTTTAGAGAAAATGGAAACAAAAAGGACACTTAGAAATAAGAAACAGTTGAAATTTGTAGACACATAATGAGGAAAGAAGTTTTGGAAAATTTGATACTCACAGGGCGTATTAAAGGTAAGAAGAAAGCAACGCATAACCTACATAATGGGCTTGTGCAAATGGTTTGTAGAACAGGGATTAGGAGATATAGCAAGAAAACAAACTTTACTAAGGGCTACAAAGAATTGGAAGTTGTGGAGAGTCATGATTGCTCACGTCCTCAAAGGATACGGCACATAGAAGAATAAGATCATCATAATAAAAAAAATAATATCACCTAATCCCTCCATCAATCCTACATGAGACTAATGCCTTTTATGAATTGATTTAA